ATATAAATTTAAAACATAAACTTTAAAAAATACAAACATAAAAATGAAACACAAAACTTGTCACATATTCATTACCTGGAAATAGACTACTGATTTAAAACATTAGAATTACATATTAAGAAGAAGAGAAATCGAGAGAAGAAGAAATTGGAGATTTTGTTTTTTTTTTCACAAAACATATTTTCTTTTCCAAAAATTAAAACCCTATCAGAAGACCACATGTGGCATAAGATTCGCCTCTCAAAACATCTTAAATAAAAACCGAATGCTTCTTAGAAAAACACTATTTGGATTAAAATGATTTTTTTTATTGTCATAAGACCCGGCGAGATATGGGGTTAAACATGGCCTAATAGCACACGTTTCTCAATGATTCTCAACCGCACTTCCATTTACGCCCACACTTCGACTTATACTATACACACTTAATTTCTCAACGACTAATGAAGCTAAAACTCAATAGTTTTTCTATACAAACACAATTTAAAAAGTAAAGTATGGTATAGTGAAAAAAATAAGTAGAAAATAAAATACCAACGAATTACTCATAAACAACATAATAAACTCCCGCGCGTAGCGCGGGCAACCGACTAGTACATATATAAAAAGAACATATATACTTGGTTATGGAAGAACAAGTGATGAATATGTCACAAAGATAACCTGTAATGCCTCAAGATTCAATTTCTTTGAAGCTATTTGCAATAAGTGAACACATGCGGTAGAAGTGTGTATAGAAAGTGAAATACTTTAGATGATACAAACAAAACAAAACAATCGAAAATACAACACGAAAACCCGAGGCAAATCGAGCTACAAAGCACATAACAAGAAAGAGATCCCTCAAAAAGTGACTAACTATATTACCAAATTTACTTGGAAATCTCTAAAGCAGTTCATGGAGATGCACTGCTACTGCTGGAACGATACATAGTGGCAAAATCCAAACATAAACTTCGGTCCCTTTCATCGCCCCAACCTCCCCAACCTTTGAAACCAGCTTTGTAACCCGCTTGATGCTTGTACACTCGAACTCCCCATTCTTCTTTTATGTTTACAACTTTATCTGTTTCCTTAACTTCGATGTTTACCACCCCATTATCGATGCAATCACCGTCATCTCCTTTACCTTGATGCAAACCACATTTTCCAAAGTGGACAGCACTCGTTCTAGGCCCTCGTAATGTGTAAACAGGGGAGCCAAATGAGGGGAAAACAGTTGCCCACATCGTTATATCCCAATTGTAATCATCAAAGAAACAAAACTCTCTTGCCTTCTGGTGAATATTCTCCCACACACTTCTATTAAAAGAATACCCGACATTACCCATTCTCTCCGCAACCAAACTTTCACGCGCTTCTCCTCTTGACTTCACATCAGACGGTGCTAAATTAGCAGCAAAGCAGTCAGGACATTTCGCAGGTTTCAGCCTCGTGAGAGTTTGTATATTACGATAGGCGTTAGGAAAAAGAAAATGATCTTCCTCGATGAAAAGCATATGACCCTCATGTCTTTTAGTCTCCTCCAACCCATCCCATACAGTGTTCATCATCCACCACCAGTGATGCTTCAAAGATACAATCTTTGGAGACCGGTGATGCCCATACTGATCCGGATTCCCTATACAATGTGTCTTTGCCTCATCACCCTTGTTCTTACAGTCACTCGTGGTCACCCCAGGGAAACTAGTTCGGAATATATGAGGCGAATACGGCGAAAATATCTGTTTCACCTGACAGAACTTAATACCATCCACAATCTTGTTCATCTCTTCAAAGTAACCATCATGGCTAACAATCAACAATGTCTCACTGATTCCTTTAACTTTCGACAAACTTTCCACGGTTACTCGAAAATACTGAGCCCGATTGTGCACATACAAGACAATAACCACATGGTCTTTCGCCAAATTCGGATACAAATCAAGATTCCTCGGCGAAAAATGGTTCCTTCTATGCAACCTAAGAGACATTCCATTACCTCTAGCTACTCTTAGCAATGAAGCATTAAGCTTAACTTCCAAATCTTTGTCCAATTCATCCAAATCATCCTGGTTAATAGTAGTCCTATTCAAAGCTGTTCTTGGTACAGACACCAACATCAAAACTATCGAGACTGTAATTGCAAATAGAATCCCTAAACGACATAAACCCGTATCTTTCAATTTCTGCTTCTTCCAAAGATTTGCCATCATCACAACCCCAAACTCAATAAAACCCACTTACCCTCTTCACAAAAAGGTGCTTCCTTTACAATCTTCAAATCACCTGCAACACGAATTGAAACAAAAAAAAACCAAACCTTCATCAATCACAAAGAGAAAAGACTCGAGCTTTGACTTCAGATCCTCCAATCTAATTACAAATCAGGAAATGGGTATAAGATTCCAGGTTTCAACAATTAATTTAAATGAAAATTTTGATGGCAGTGCAATATAAAATGTTCAAAGATGAGATCTTTAAATTAACCCATGAGACAACAACAACAACAAAGAAACAGAGTAAGACAAACCTTGGAACTTGAAGATTGAAGTTGACGAATCACTGAAATGAAGCAAACCCAGATAGCAAATGGAAACCAAGAAGAGAGTAAAGTTTTGTTCACTTCAAAATCTGAGATTTTTTCTTTTTCTTTTCTAGAATCGATCGAAATCACAAACCCAACAACAATGTTCTTCTTCTACTACAACGCGGAATTGAAAGAAACAAAAAAACCAAAAAACAAAAAAGCTAAATTTGTGACTTTGGGTTTCTCAAATTTTTTCTTAAGTCACCGAGTCAATTGTCACTAATATTTACTATTCTGCCATTTCAGATTCTTGACTGCCGTGGAAACTAAATTGGAAACTAAATAAATAAAATAATTTGTTTGCTTCAATTACAATTAAAATTCAATTACATAATTTGCTTTTTGTGAGTAAGTTAGTTAGAATGTTGCAATCTTCCATAATGTATTTATTTATTTATTAAGAAGATACTTCTTTTTAAAGATTTACTTATATCTTACTTCATTTACCCACATAATTAATAATTCTTTTAGATATTCATATTTAGTGAGATGGTCTTCTAATCTTCATAAATAGGATGAAATGAACATCAATTTGAGGTTAACATGAAAAACGAAAATTCATCCCAAATTTAATGTGAACAAGTCTTATCTTACATGATTTTTTCCAAATTTAATGTTGAAAAGTCTTATCTTACAAGATTACTTCAAATATGTGGTGTATTTAGTCAATCATATGGAATGAAATATGAATGTTGAAATGACTAATACTTTGTTATTCAAAAATAAATTTAGAAGCAATTCTAAAATCCAGAGTTATTGAAATAGTGATTTTTATTTTAAATGACTTCTAAATTTATTTTTTATTGGAAATGTTTTAAATATTAGATTTAATAACTTTGAAATAGTTTAGATGATTTTTAATGTTAAAATATAAATATTAAATTGCAAGGTTTTAAAATAGGATTTGATGGGATTCTACAAGAAAAGAAAAATATAGCATATCTTTCCTTAATTTACTCAAATCATTAAAGATTCAGATAAACCTCAAAAATCATTTTAAATATATGGTGGGTATTTTATAATCATCTTTCCTACTGAAAATTTTAAATGTCTTTTGAAATTACATACTATTAGATTTAAATTCACGGTACACCGCGAGATAATTTTAAATTTACTGTATTTAAGATAATAATTTCTAATTTATTCAGTTTTTAAGTAAAAGAAATATGAGAATTTTTGAGAAATGCCCTTTTTGGTGTACCCCTTTTTAAAAATACCCCTATTTTCTATCCATTTTCAAAAATACCTCTTTTCAAATTTTATATCGTTGATAAGGTACATCAAGATCATCATTACTACTGGAAGACTAAATTCAAATATTTATAAGGTTTTAAAATGTTCTAAATGACATTTATAAGGTTTTTATAAGGTTTTTAAATGATTTTTAAAAGGTTTTTAAAAAATATATATATAAATTTACACACATATAAAGATAATTTGTGTATATAAATATAAGTTTACACATATGTTTTGATAAATTTTAAATTTTATAGTGATTTTTTGATAAAATTAGAAAGAAGGGTATTTTTAAAAAGTAATATTGGAAAGGGGTATTTTTGAAATTCTCTCAAAAAATATTGAAGTAAATCATAGTCAATTGTTATTTAATAAAGAGATTACGTCAAATTTTTGAAGTAACTCATAGTCAATTGTTATGTAATAACTAATAAGTGATCAATAAAAGTTACTCAACAAATCTTATATTATTCATAAATAAAAATGCATATTAAAAAATATTAGGAAAGAAAACAAAAAAACAAAAGTCCACCAACCTAGTTTTGAGTCAAAAAAATAAATATGAGTCAAATAACTCAAATTTTTATGATTGACTCATATTTGACTCATGATTGCAAATATTTGGTATTGGGCCTTTCATGGGTAACTATTTGGACCTCCTTGAGAATGGGTATTGCAAATATTTGGTATTGGGCCTTCCAATGGAAACTATTTGGACCTCCTTGAGAATGGGTATTGCAAATATTTGGTATTGGCTCTAAACAAAACAAGAAGTTTGGAGTTTAGTTAAGTGTTTGATCTATGGATGGATTCATGGATTCATGGACTCATGGACTCAAAGTTAGATGTGATTTAGATATTTCGTAGTAGCCACTAGCCAGCCTTTGTGGGACTTGTATGGGAGTGTGGAAGCCACACGTGGTAGTAGCGGTTGAGAATAAATTTCAATTTGGATGGATCGTTGGCGGCTTAGGCCGAACCGGGGAAGGGTCTTTCTCAACTTGTTAGACGTCTTGAGAAGTCATACGTTTATGTCCTTAACATTTTATTAGCTACAAGAGCCACTAGCTACTTTTTATTCCAATATGATCTAAAATTTGGATGACACAATCCTAACAATAGTTTGGGAATGAAATTTAATTCTATAATTTAGTCTAACGCATTAATATTTAGAACCCGTTTTTACTAATCGAATCAAACCAAATTTAACCCGAAAACCCGAATATTTGTTAAAAATAATCGAAGTAACCAGAATTTTTGGTTTTGAAATTCAAAATCAAAATTAACTGTGAAAATCGAACCAGATATTTTTATTTTCGGATAATTTCGGTTTATCTCTTTAATTTGTCAATAACCAAATTAACCAAGCCGAAGAACCGAAGAACCGAAGTCACATGCCTAGGTCACACCTAATGCAAATAATCTTTTGGACAGAAGATATATGAGAAAAATAAACAATGTTATAAAGTTTTGGTGTTGTCAAGACTCAAGACGTTACGATGATTGTTTTGGTTCATGTCTCTAGAATAACGCTAAAGAACACCTATGGCTAAATAACTGATTAATACTATTATATACATTTATTTTATTATAAAGTAGTCCATTCATAATTCCACACGACTTAAGATGAGATGCTACTAACACAACTTGTCTTAGTTGTTTAATCACGACTTTTTTTCTGTACCTTGTGATTATGATATTTTGTGAGAAATGATATCAAAATCCACAATGAGCACATCAACCTTGAATCTTCATTTAGAACTAGATTTAGATATTTTAGGCTTTGATTGTTTTTCAGATTTTAGAACTAGATTTTGGATTTAATATCCCAAAAACTAATAATAATAATAAAAATAACCAAATATAGAAAACAAAAAAATACAAAGATAGAGTTAAATATAAAAATATGAACATTCACATACACAATTTGTTTGGGTAAAGAGTGTAGTATTATATATAAGAAGATTAATAATATGTATTAAACTCATTTAAACTCGATTATTATGTTACTTGTTAGAAAAATTTGTATTATGCGAATTTAAATTCCGATGTTAAATTATTATAAATTTACGGAGAAAAATAATTATAAAATTCATATAATGATATTTTGTAACATAGTTCTATTTTACATATAAGATAAAACAAAAATTAAATATTATTAGCAATCGGATCATCAAATAATATCTCATGTTGAATCATCATAGTTATAAAAAATTAAAAATATGATGCTAATTTGTATTTGACACAAAGTCAATGGAGGAAGTGAATAATTATACATATTAATTACAAAATTCAAATTTAAACAAAAGAAAAAGAAAGAAAGAATAAAACAAAGAGAGTAAATCAGAAGTGTCTGTTTCGTCCTCACAACACACACATACGGATTCAGAGAAACTTGACCCTTTGGATTACTCAAGAGCTCATCTCTTCCCTCTACAAAAATGGCCGCACGTCTCAAACCTTCTCTTACATCCTTCTTCCTCCATCATGACTTCATCTTCTTCTTTCTCTCTCACTTTCACTGCTCCTCTCCTCCCTTCTTCTTCAAAACCCACCAAAAGATCCGTCCTTGTCGCAGCTCAGACCACAGCTCCGGCTGAATCCACCGCATCCGTCGACACAGATCGTCTTGAGCCAAGGGTTGAGTTGAAAGATGGGTTTTTTATCCTCAAGGAGAAGTTTCGTAAAGGGATCAATCCTCAGGAGAAGGTTAAGATCGAGAGTGAGCCAATGAAGCTGTTTATGGAGAATGGTATTGAAGAGCTTGCTAAGAAATCTATGGAAGAGATTGATAGTGAAAAGTCTTCTAAAGATGATATTGATGTTAGACTCAAGTGGCTTGGTCTCTTCCACCGTAGAAAGCATCAGTGTATGTTCTGTTCTCTATTACTCTCTTTTGAGTTTTTGTGATTGAATTAGGGGGGAAAAGGTTGAAGCTTTGTGTCTATTTAGTGATCTAATTGTGTAAAGGTTCTGTCTTTACTCTTAATCTTTACTACATTTTGATTTATCTATGCTCGTTGTGATTGAATTAGGGGGGAAAAGGTTGAAGCTTTGTGTCTATTTAGTGATCTAATTGTGTAAAGGTTCTGTCTTTACTCTTAATCTTTACTACATTTTGATTTATCTATGCTCGTTGTGATTGAATTGGGGGGGAAAATATTGAAGCTTTGTGTCTAGTTAGAGATCTAATTGTGGTAAGGTTCTGTCTTTACTCTTAATCTTTACTACATTTTAATTGTTTTTGTTGTTGTTGCAGATGGTAAGTTTATGATGAGGTTGAAGTTACCAAATGGTGTGACTACAAGTGCTCAGACTCGGTATTTAGCAAGTGTGATTAGGAAGTATGGTGAAGATGGCTGTGCTGATGTGACAACTAGACAGAATTGGCAGATCCGTGGTGTTGTGTTGCCTGATGTGCCTGAGATCTTGAAAGGTCTTGCTTCTGTTGGGCTAACAAGTCTTCAAAGTGGAATGGATAATGTGAGGAACCCAGTTGGGAATCCTATAGCTGGGATTGACCCGGAGGAGATAGTTGATACTAGGCCTTACACGAACCTTCTTTCGCAGTTTATCACTGCTAATGCCCAAGGGAATCCTGATTTCACCAACTTGTGAGTTTCCTTTTTTTGTGTGTTGTTGATGCTATGATTGAGTTGTGTTGGTATGTGAATATATATGCTAAGATGGGTTTTGGTTTTGTTTATTGCAGGCCAAGAAAGTGGAATGTGTGTGTGGTGGGGACTCATGATCTGTATGAGCATCCACATATCAATGATCTAGCTTACATGCCTGCTAATAAAGATGGTCGGTTTGGATTTAATTTGCTTGTGGGAGGATTCTTTAGTCCCAAAAGATGTGAAGAAGCCATTCCTCTTGATGCTTGGGTTCCTGCTGATGACGTTCTTCCACTCTGCAAAGCTGTTCTAGAGGCCTATAGAGATCTTGGATTTCGAGGAAACCGACAGAAGACAAGAATGATGTGGCTTATCGATGAACTTGTAAGTACATTCTTCTTCTTGCAATCTTTTACTTAGAAAATTAAGTATATTGTGGTTCTTGATTGTTGATTTGTCTGCAAAAACTGTATAGGGTGTTGAAGGCTTTAGAGCTGAAGTAGAGAAGAGAATGCCAAATGGGAAACTCGAGAGAGGATCTTCAGAGGATCTTGTGAACAAACAATGGGAGAGGAGAGACTATTTCGGAGTCCACCCTCAGAAACAAGAAGGCCTTAGCTTCATTGGTCTTCACGTTCCAGTTGGTAGGCTACAAGCGGATGACATGGACGAGCTTGCTCGGTTAGCTGACACCTACGGCTCAGGTGAGCTGAGACTCACAGTAGAGCAAAACATCATCATCCCAAATGTGGATTCCTCGAAAACCGAAGCTTTGCTTCAAGAGCCATTCCTCAAGAACCGTTTCTCCCCTGAGCCATCTATCCTAATGAAAGGCTTAGTTGCTTGTACTGGTAACCAGTTTTGCGGACAAGCAATCATCGAAACCAAACTAAGAGCATTAAAAGTGACAGAAGAAGTAGAGAGACTTGTATCAGTGCCAAGACCAATAAGAATGCATTGGACAGGATGTCCCAACACTTGTGGACAAGTCCAAGTTGCGGATATCGGGTTCATGGGATGCTTAACTCGCGGCGAGGAAGGAAAGCCAGTCGAGGGGGCTGACGTGTATGTCGGGGGACGAATAGGAAGTGACTCGCATATCGGAGAGATCTACAAGAAAGGTGTTCGTGTCACAGATTTGGTTCCAGTGGTGGCTGAGATACTAATCAAAGAATTTGGTGCTGTGCCTAGAGAAAGAGAAGAGAATGAAGATTGATTCAATGCTATTGGATTCTTAATAAGTCAAGAGACCTATGAATGGTTTCTCTCTGGTTTTAAACATTGATACTTGTATTTGTGCCCATAATTTTGGGTTTTGTAGCTCTCTTTGTTGTAACTTGTAAGTTGTTCTTGGTTGTTTTGTAATTTCTTGTTTCTACATACTTTATTAATGTAGTATACATTCTGATTTTTTTGCCATATTTTTTTCTGTCTTGATTTAAAGTTTCAACCCTACATTTTTGCTTTTTGTGTTCAAAACAGTATATTTTTTTTTATAAATTCATAAGGAATAAACATTTGTAGTTTTGAACTGCCCTGAATCCAAAACAAAGTCAAATCAATTATACTAGTCAATTGCGATATAACTAAATCGATTTTAAAATCGGATCATTTTTATATATTTTTTATGCTTGATACTACAACTTTTTACTTTTTTTTTTACTTTTAGTAAATAAAAATATTTGTGGAAGCCCCTTTAGTCTAGTGTTTGACAAAAGTTTGATTAATGCTTCTATATTTAGAGGTTTGGGGTTTGACCTCCAGATAACATGATTTATTAATTTGCAGATCAAAGAGATATGCTTACAGAAAATCTATAACGATGCACAATCATGACCGTTCGCCATGAATCTATGCATGGAGAAAGAAATGTCGTCCGTCAGAGGAGATAAAGTAATCTATGGTGATTATAATAAGGTCGGAGATGATTGTCTGTAGTATATTCGTCATGGTAATAATTCTCATAATTTGCAATAAATAATAGTTCAAAGTAAGAAATAGTAATATTTAAGAAATACAGATCAAATTTGTTTTCACTATAGTTTTATTAAAAAAAAAGATAAATAAAATCGACTTATTAATTTATATTTTTAGTTGGATTTCTTTTTCGAAAATCACTGAATTAATTTCGGTTTGTAATAACAATTATGTTTGTACCAAAATGCTGAACAAACCAAACTATCAACATTAAACCGAGGTTCGAAATGCTCAATCCCAATTTAAACCGTAAATTTGATTAGTCTCATAAACCGCGTAAACCTCTTCGATTCGTCTCCTCCACTGCGCCATGAGAAGCCTCACATTCCCCTGTTTCTTACGCCACCGAATCTCAATATTTTCCGGCACCGGTTCTCCTCTAACCGCCGTGCGGCTCTCATCTTTGGCCACTGATTTAGAGTTACCGCCGATAACTTCTGATATTTTGCTTGACTCAATAAAATCTTCTCAGTGGCATATCGTCGAACACCTTTCGGACAAGTTCACACCTTCCCTTCTATCAACAACTCTGCTCAATCTCGTCAAGACTCCTGATTTAGCATTGGGTTTCGTCAACCACATCGACCTTCGTTGCCTGGACTTTCAAACACAGTGTCTAGCCATCGCTGTTGTCTCTAAGCTCTCTTCTCCTAAACCCGTTACTCAGTTGCTGAAAGAAGTTGTAAGTAGTCGTAAGAACTCAATTAGAGACCTTTTCGATGAATTGGTACTTGCCCGTGATCGATTAGAGACTAAAAGCACGATTCTTTTCGATTTCCTGGTCAGATGTTGTTGTCAATTGAGAATGGTGGATGAAGCTATAGAGTGCTTTTACTTGATGAAGGAGAAAGGTTTTGATCCCAAAACTGAAACTTGTAATTGCATTTTGAGTTTGTTGTCAAGGTTGAATCGTACAGAGAGTGCTTGGGTCTTCTATGCTGATATGTATAGGATGGAAATTAAGTCGAATGTGTATACTTTCAATATAATGATCAATGTACTGTGCAAAGAAGGGAAATTGAAGAAGGCCAAAGAGTTTTTATGGATCATGGAGAGTTTTGGAAGTAAGCCTACTGTTGTTACTTACAACACTCTTGTTAAAGGGTATTCTTCGAGAGGACGAATCGAAGGGGCTCGTTTGATTATTAATGAAATGAAATCTAAAGGCTTTCAACCTGATTTGCAGACATATAACCCGATTTTGTCTTGGATGTGTAATGAAGGAAGAGCTTCTGAGGTGTTGAGGGAGATGAAGGAGATTGGTTTGGTTCCGGACTCTGTTTCGTATAATATATTGATCCGTGGTTGTAGTAACAATGGGGATTTGGAGACGGCTTTTGCTTACAGGGATGAGATGGTGAAACAAGGTATGGAGCCGACGTTTTATACTTACAACACATTGATTCATGGTTTGTTCATGGAGAATAAGATAGAAGCTGCGGAAATATTGATAAGGGAGATTAGAGAGAAGGGTATTGCCCTGGATTCTGTTACTTACAATATACTCATAAATGGATATTGCCAGCATGGAGATGCAAAGAAAGCGTTTGCTTTGTACGACGAAATGCTGACCGATGGAATTCAGCCTACACAGTTTACTTATACATCGCTTATTTATGTCCTATGTAGAAGAAATAAAACGAGGGAAGCCGACGAGTTGTTTGAGAAAGTTGTAGGCATGGGAGTGAAGCCTGATCTTGTGATGATGAACACCTTGATGGATGGTCACTGTGCTAGTGGCAACATGGCCCGTGCATTTTCACTGCTTAAGGAGATGGATAGGCTGAATGTCAATCCTGATGATGTTACATACAATTGCTTGATGCGAGGGCTCTGTGGAAAAGGAAATATTGAGGAAGCTCGTGAGCTGATGGGGGAGATGAAGAGAAGAGGAATCAAACCTGACCACATTAGTTACAACACCCTAATAAGTGGGTATAGTAAGAAAGGGGATACAAAGCATGCTTTTATGGTTCGGGATGAGATGCTGAGTCTCGGGTTTAATCCTACTCTTCTCACCTACAATGCTCTGTTAAAGGGTTTGAGTAAAAACCAGGAAGGTGAGCTTGCAGAGGAGCTACTAAGGGAGATGAAGAGTGAAGGCATTACTCCTAATGACAGCTCTTTCTGTTCTGTCATCGAGGCAATGTCTAGTTTGGATGCAGAAAAATCTGATAGTTGATTGGGCATGACATACTAAAGACCATTGTAAGCTTAGGCCATGATCTTTCTCACCTAAAAGATTGATTCTCATCTGCTGATAGTCATCAGTAAGGAAGATCTGCGGTGAGCCGTGAGGCTCCACAAACTCATCTGATATCATGACAGCTTTCAATGATCTCTGCCTATGGTGAATACTGTAACCTGGTCGTTTGAGATACAAATTAGCCCAAGAAACTTGATTGTTCTAAGTTATAATGTAACATTTACATATGGTTCACAGGTTCTGCTGCCTTTTTTTAGTTTTTAATCTTTTTTTCAGAAACTTGATTCATTTCAGAAGTTCAACTGATTTGATTCCTGAATGAGATTAAAACTGGGCACAAGCATATCAAGCTACAAAGAAAGATCCATCCGATAAATAGTATGGTGAGTACCCTCTTGCTGTTGGGCATACTTGCAAATTTACACTCATCAAACCAAACAAGCTGCTTCTCGTTGTCTCTAAAGCATAAGAGAGACTCACTATGATGGATGTGAGTCTCTCTTAGTCTTTAGAGACAACGAGTAGCAGCTCGTTTGGTTTGATGAGTGTAAATTTGCAAGTATGCCCAACAGCAAGAGGGTACTCCTTACACAAACTTCGCCATCCAGAGAAATTATTTGTAGTCTTTTGTTTCCACAAATAACTCACATCCATGACCTTTTCCCATCTGGATGATGGATCTTCAACATTGCTTTCTCCTTTGGCATATAATAATACTTTGAAACAGACCTCGGTATCGGCTGAAGAAAAAAAAAACAAGAAGTTGTTTTAACAAGAACAACAAAACCCAACACATATTAGTGTCTTGGTTTGTCTTATCTTACCAGAAATTCTAGGAAGTCTGAATTCTTCATGATTATGGTGAATTTAACAGGAGTAGAGGAAGAGGCTCCTGCAGAACCTCTCTCGGCACAAACCAGTTTCTCAGCCTTCTTAGAGTTTTGAGATTCCTCAGCTAGCTTCTTCCCAAACTTGAGCTTCCTTCCATTAGATTCAGCTGCTGTAGTCGCGCCACGATTACTCAACTCCGAAGACGACACCATTACCTCTTCTTCTGGTTCTATTTTGATACTACCTGTTTCATCATCAAAGGTTATAAAGAATCAATGTCTTTATCTAGTTCACTGTTTCATATACTCAGAAAAGCAAATCTTCTTACTTGAAGAAGCAAAGGATGCTCTGGACTGTGAAGGTTGGAGCATCTCCTTGCCGTTTTGTTTGAAGATGTTAACAGTGAAACACATGTTTCCTTTGTGAGTGAATGTAAGAAACTCACTGTGTCCCAAGGCATTGTCCTTCACAAACTTCTCCCAACCGTACTCATCCAGAGAAGCAACAAAACACAGCTCACATCTGGTTTTTGAGACAATTGACGAAAGACTCAACCTTTAAAACAAAGCTCAGATTCAGACAGAGACTCAAAGAGAAGCAACAAAACTAACCAATGAGTTCGTTACAAAGCGCAACATCAGTGAGTTATTTGAGACCATAACAAAAAGATTCCACCTTTAAAACACATGTACCAAGTTTGGACCTATAAGACAAGACCCATTGTTACAGACAGCTAACAAGATTCAACCTTTTGAGGCAAATACCCATTGTTACAGACAGCTAACAAGATTCAACCTTAAAGACAAGACCCATTGTTACAAACAGATAATTAACAAGATTCAACCTTTAAGACAAGAACCATTGTTAGTTTGTTACAGAGAGCTAACAAGATTCAACCTTTAAGACAAGAACTATTGTTACAGACAGCTAACAACATTCAACCTTTTACGACAAGAACCATTGTTATTACATACAGCTAGCAAGATTGTTACAGAGAACGAAAAAAAGTTTTTAACTTTTCCAAACTAAGCTAACACAAAATCGTCTAAGTTAAGAACAGGAAGAGTTTAGAACATTTGTTACCATGTCTTCTGAAGAAACATTTACACTGTGACACATCTTGAAAAAAGCTTTGGTTATTCCTTTCTTCTCTGGCCCGATCAAAATAAGTGTTCGTAGCCATCTCTCTCGTTAGAAAAGATCTGATTAAGCTTTGCTACTTCTACTTCTACTTCCTCTCGTCTCTCTCTTTCTCACACTCTATGTCAAAGAAACATTTCCTCTCAGAACTTAAGACAAAGTACAAATGTGAGGTCATCTTTATTTTATTACACGTAGCTCATATTGTGTTCTTTAACTCATAAAAGCCAAAAAACACAGTCAAATAGTTAAAATTGGATTAAAGAAAGAACAGCCAACACATAGGAAAAGCAAGTTTCAAGGTATGGAACTTTTTAGTAGCATAGGTGATGCAGTTACTAATAGAAGCAAAAAGATTTTGCTTTTGCGTGTCTGCAAAGACATATATAGTATTTTACTGTGTTTAATAGTATCAGTAAAAACAATTTACTTTTGCTGACCAAATGAAAAAAAAGAAACAATTTGTATGTTGTCAAGAAAATACAACTAATCTATGTTAAAATGATATAGAAATATTTAAGTAGGTCTGGGCATTCGGTTAATTGTTCTTCTTTGGTTTAGTTGTACTCAATTTCGATTGGTTCAAATATGATAATATGATAACCACTTATATGTTTTAGAAATTTTGGTTTGGATCGAATCCGTCTATTATAAATTGAAATTTTATTTATTTAAATATTTGAAAACAATTCATTCTTTTTACTGAAAGATAAAGATATTTTTGTTTATAACATGTAAAATGTGAGTTTATAAGCTATGTACCTCATCGGCAACACTATTATAAACTTTAAGACTACATTTTTGATTTTAACAAATGTAAAATCTTATAAAATAGGGAAAAAGTAATAGTTAAAAGTTAAAACATAAATATTGTACTAAACCCACGCAGCAACACGTGGGTCATTTTCTAGTAAATAATAGTTTATGAGTCGACTTTCTATATAAAAAAATGACACTTGTATCTGAATGTGTAGTCAATATTTTATTTCCAAATAATTTTAAACCAAAATGAAGTAATACATATCACAATTATGAAAATAATGTGGTCAATATATTTATTCGTATTAACTAATGATACAAATAATAATTAAATTATATGTATATATTGACTATGACCAAAGATTTGTACCATTTGGCATGTATTTGGAAGTAATATAATGTTATGTAAAAAGAGATTAGTTCTATATAATACAACCACATAAATATTTTTACATGTTGGTGGTTCAATTTGGGTTTAAATGTTAGTCTATTGGTTTGATTTTGAAGAAAAAAAAAAGAATAGTTTTAAGAAAATAATAATTTAATTTACATCTTAAGAAATTATTCAACACGAAGTTCCCTCCAATTGGCTCGTATGAGTCAATCTTATAGTTTTTGTTGACAAAAAGTAATTATTAGTCAACATATCTTTTTCTGTTGACTATCACCATTATTTAGGATTGTATTTCCTTGTTAAAGCACTATTTAAATAAGCTCTTGCGTTTCTTCACATACAAAAACAAAAACAAAAAAATCATTCAGAGAGATATCAAAATCAAAGAGCGACCATGTCAGTAAAAAAATTAAAACTCGCGTGGATAGAGAATGAGAAATCAAGAGCAAATAAATCGAAGAAAATAATGGTATGGTTAATGAAAAAGGTTAAAGAATTCAGTATATTGTGTGATGTATTGGTGTGCATTATCATGTTTAACCCTAATGAGGTTGAGCCAATGGTATGGCCATCTGTTGAGAAGACTCGTGGTATCCTAGATGGTTTCTTCTCCTTACCGGAGATCGAGAAGAAGAAGAAAGAGATGAATATTGAGTCATACCTGAAGGAAAAGACGAAGAAGGTTCATGAGCTATTTCTGAAGACTCATAAGAAGCACATGGGTTATATCATTGATCAGCTGATGGTGCAACTGCATCGCGGTCGAAGAATTGATGATCTTAACATGAGTGAGATTTATAATTTGTTATCTTTCTTAAAGGATAATATTATACTTCGTAGGAATGAGCTAAAATTTGTGCAATATCCTCCTCTTCACGAGCCACCGATGCTTCCACTTGAGGCGCAACTCGAGGATCTTAGATCAACCAGAAATAATGTTTTTGTAAGCGGTGGTATGGTTGAGGAGAGAGCTTGGAAGACTAATGAAGAAACTGAAAGGATTAGCATTGGCAATGTAGTAAAGGGGAATCAAAGTCAATACTTGATTGATAAATGGGTTTTTCCTTCTCCATTAACACCTAAACCTAGAAACAACCAACTAATCGAGATGGGTATGGTATCTTACAACCAAAACCCTAACCATGCTCTATACCAAGGAAACAACACTATAGCAATCAACAATGGTACCTGTCAAGAGTCACCTCCTAATGGAACTATCGTTGGAGAAGATGTGGAAGATAAGCTGATGTGAGGTTGTTCGATATCAATAAGGTTTGGCCATCTATTAATAATCAACATTTCTAGACTTATAGCTAGTATGTGTTTTAAGTATCGTATGCAATTTTTTTATAAATGTGTTGTCAGTTTTAAGAACTATTATCTTGAAAACCAAAGATCTTTATTTGAAAGTGTGTTTTTTTTGTTTGTGGAATTATGGGCTTTTAAATAAAAAAAATTATATTATTTTGGTTTAAAATCATTTTCAATTACAGTTTGTAATTTTGGGGTACTCCAAGAGAGTTGTCTTTGCTAAGCTCAGATCATTATTTAACTCAGGTTAATCTTTCCAATCTAAACCAACATTCATAATATAAAAGTAATTTAAAGTAAATATTATTTCTGAAAATATCCTAATGTAAATGGCATTGCATGATCACAAAAGTACATATTTCCACACACACCCAAAAAAAGAAAGTTGAAAATGTTATTGAATTATAAAAAAAAAAAGTTACATTGAATTTATAGATTGTGTTTGCATAGTAGATTCAACTTGTTGTTGAATCTTTTAATCTTTAAAGATGATATGAATTAATTTCTTGTAACAACCCATCCAGGTGGGAACCACTGCCACATGACACACCCCGCCACATGGCAGCTACAAGCGCTGCAGCGCATCGACCCTAACCTCTCTCCTATGGGCCCAAACTGCGCAGCCCACTTGCTCGCAGCCTCCTGGCCCACCAGGTAGGTTATTGGTGCGCCTGGCGTTCCTCGAACCCAGGTCCTCACCCTTTAACAACCTTCCCACTTGACAAGTTGTTACCAATTGAACTGTAGGTCAGTGTCTTTAATTTTTATTTTTATTTCTCATACATGTTTTCTATTTTTATTTTTAAGGATCCTACCAAGTGATAATTATTCAGCCATGGATCTTGTATTTAGCATAATTAGCTTATAACAAACAATGCTTTGAACAACGCGTTGTTAATTACTCACTGAATGACTTTTTATTCATTTTATCAGTCTATGTTGATTTTGAATGGTTACTCTTTTTTAGTTTTTCCCATCATATCTCTCTTGACCTCATACATGTATTAACAACTATGTATTTTTCTTTTCCTATATTAACAAACAATATGCAGAAAAAGTCAAAGAGTACTATTGATCATTTTACATTGTTGTAAATTAAGTCTCAAATGCACATAAATTTCCAAAGGAATAATTGATTATTTTACATAAAATCCGACGGGAAAAAACTAAATCTGTGAAAATGTGAAAGAAATAAACGAAAGACGAAAGTAGCTATATGAAGAATTCTCGCATTGAAACAAAAAACACAGAACTAATCCCCAAACTCAAGGTAGTTTATCTATATCTATATATATAAAGTTAGCTTTTTCTCTCTTCTCATGATGCCACCTAAGCATCCACATAAGCTACATTTTTGTTTAAAAATTAAAACAAATTAAAACATTCATTTAGTGCATATTTATGTTACTTATTTAATTAATAGAAAATTTATATAAATAAAAATAAATTATGTAAAAAAATGAAATGATAAAATAAGAAAAACAATACTTTAATTTTTTATTAGTGGTAATAATATAATTCAACTTTCATTTTAAATTAATCATAATTTAATATGTTAAATATGTTACTGAGTTTTAGAATGGAAGTAAAATATAAATTTATGGTAGACTAAAACAACACTTATGTAATTGTATATATAAAATTATAAAAAGGAAAAATAAAATGAAAGTGAAATATTAGTTTATAACATGATCAAAAAGAAAAAAAATGATATTTCATAAATTGAATCAAATGCTTTTAATCCAAATTTGAGTATTGAAAAATAATAATTAAAGAGAAAATAATTATAATATTTTTTGAAAATCAATTAAAAAATAATAAAATATCACAATATGAATAAAAAATCAACGAAACAAAATTATAAACCTCCCGCGCGGAGCGCGGGTCAACTGATAGTATATATATAAAGTTAGATTTTCTCTCTTCTCATAATGTCACCTAAGCATTCACATAAGCAACATTTTTTTAAACATTAAAATAAATTTAAAATATAAATTTAATTCATATATATGCTACTTATAATTAATATAAAGTTTGTATAAAAAATCAATTGTGTAAAATAAATAAAATGTTAAAATAAGAAAAAATATTATAATATTTTATTAGTGGTAATAATATAATTCAACTTTTATTTTAAAATGATCATAGTTTAAAATTTTAAATGTGTTACTAAGTTTTAGAATGAAAATAAATTTTAGATTCATGGTATAATAAAACAACATTTATGTAATTGTATATATAAAATTTTAAACAGGAAAATAAAATTGAAAGTGAAATATTAGTTTATAACATGATAAAAAATAAATAAAACAAATTTGATATTTCGTAAATTGAATCAAATGCTTTTAATCCAATTTTGAGTATTGAAAGATAGTAATTAAAGAGAAAATATTTATAATATGATTTGAAAATCAATATAGTCTAATATATGTTATATGTGAGGCAATAGAATCGGAAAATAAAGTAGATGTTGAAAGGCAATGAGTGCATAGTAGATAATGATGAAAGAATTGTAGAATGCACATGACTAAGTTAAAATCTTCTAAACTTCATTCATTCATTCATCCTGACAGGTTTATAATACTCAAAATTTGATACTATGCAAATACCAACCTAAACTTACTAAAAAATTCAAATTTTCAACCTCAATTATATGAAATTTGCCGATTTCAAACTTTCGAAATAATGACCATTTAACAGTGATGAATCAACTGACAGGGTGGTAATGACAAGGCGTGAGGGATGATTAAACAACATCGTTTTGTGAATCTTCGATTTTGTTCACCTACACACAACAAAATTACTTCTTTTTAAAGGACTATGATTAAGGAAAAAAATAGTCATGATATGTCTTGAAAATCAATTGATATTCCAATATATTTATTATATTAGAGCCAATAAAAATGCAAAAAATTATATCTATAATGTTGTTTTTATACAAGATGAACTGATTAAATGCATACATTCGATGACCTATTTAATTTGATAATTTATAACATTTTGTGAGGGTTATAAGAATTGAAGGCTTATGAAATATAAGGTAGTACCACCTACTATTGAACCTAATCTACAGTTAAACAAATAACAATAAAAAAAATTAAGTATTAAAATAATATAAACTTACCCATGTGAAAAACAGAGTAACAAAAAATGACATCAATAGAAAAAAAAACTGTACAAAAAACAACAAAAATCAAAATATAAAAACAATTTATAAACCTCCCGCGCGTAGCAACAACTAGTTCTATATATAGTATAATAAATTTCCTTTCATAAAAACAATTTGGAGATTTCTGACCAAAAATGAACATTACTAGAAACCGTGTGTTAACGGAGTTTCTTGAGATCATTTTTTTTTATAATGATACTTATAACACATTTTAATTGATAGATTAAAAATAACATTAATATAAATAATCGTGTGTTACTATGTATAAATTATTACATTATTACGTTACATCCTTCTTTTCCCCTTTATGGTGTTGAATGTTGATATACACACCTTAAGTAGCTGCTAATTGGTAAATATATGACCCGTTTGAGACGACCCAACAATGAACAAGTGTTTTTCTATATATGATCACTATTATTGGACATATATTGAATAATTTTTGCGTTCTAGTGGCTTATTTAAAATATGAAGATTTTGATCCAAAAAATCAAAGTATACATATATATATATACATGTATATGTATATATATTATAATTATTTAGTCTTTGCTTTTGTTTTTCAATATATATATGATGACATATATCATTATAAATTTTACAACAACAACAAAAATGATCCAGATAATAGTTAATTTTTATTAATGTAAAATCTTATGGTAGGTGATGATACAAAATACATATGGATGTAGATCAAAATAAGTTTTTATTTAGACGGTCGAGACGTGGTGCACAACAACATTTGTACCATGGAGGGTTTTTAATGCACATTAGAAAAGTAGGATCTTCCCCTGGACCTGTGCATATGGTCTTGCAGTCATTATCGGTTTTGCAAGGACCTTTGTAGTTACATTTACCTGAAAACAAAAAGAATAAGAATTAACTCAATTTATCTAGCATTATTTCTTATAGGGGGTTTAATTTATAAAAAAAACAACTAAAGTCACACACACATAAATAAAATATTACCAATTGGTTTAGCGATGATTTGAGAAGAAAGAACACAAAAAGTTAAAAGCAAAAATGCAAGTTGAAATTTTTGCGCGGACATTGTTTAGCTCTTTATAAAAAAAATATTTTTTTTTGTTAGGTTTAGAGCAATAGTCGAAGGGATTAGATGGTAGATGGGTGGATTCGCTTTAGTTTTTTCATATAAAAATAAAAATATAAAATATATATATATATAAATAGATTGCAAAATTGGCTAACATATCTCAAGAATATCTTGCATTAGTCATATGCACCAATTTAAATATAAGCTATATACATTGTATTTTTTTAAGTGTTTGTATCATTTATGAAATTAAAGATTTGTCAAAATAAAATAAACTTACGAAATAGGCCATATGAAAGGCTTATTATTGCACTCATGTGTTAAAATGATTCAGGATTTTAAAATTGTGTAAATCCATCCCTATTTATGTTATTTATTAAAATCAGATTACAAAAATTTATCAACATATCCCATGAAAATCTTGTATTAATTATAGGTGCCATATTATCTTCAACAAATATCCAAATTTAAATTTAAAATAATTGAATTAATTAAACGTTTTACATCTTATGCCATTTATGGCAATTTAAAGATCAAGTCAAACTACCCAAGACAAATAGACAAGAATCTCTTGTGCCCTTTGACTAAAGGCTTTATACACACATACCATTCAATGTTCTTAATACCTTTAGACCATATATTGACAAATTTAAAGACATATTTTGCCCCTACTATTATTGATTATAATCTAAGTAAAAAAGAAAAAGAAAAAATGTGAACCCCACCGACGTATGTGCTTCTTCCTTTTTCCTTTCTCTCTCTTCTTCTTTCTCTCTCCCGAACTTGAAATTCTTCATAATCAATGCAAACACCATTGAAAAACTATGAAATTGAGTTATATGTTTGGATAAAACTGAGTAAATGGGCAATATCAAATGGATAAAACTGAGTAATTCTGTGTAGAGAGAACTGATCCCTGACTTAAACCAACATGCTAATTCCTTTACCATACTAGAACCACTAGCAATAAAGACAAACGTTATTGTTTTTTCATATGAGAGCTATTTTTAAGGTTTAAATGTTAATAACATTATTTTGGTGGTTTATAGTGTTAGTGAAATTTCTTCGGGATTTTAAGTATTACCAAGTGATATTTTAGGGTTCTTCGGAATTTTAAATATTACCAAGTGATATTTTAGAGGTAAAAGGCAATTTTCCCTTTAATTATAATTATAAACAATATCACAATACATAAACTAATATCATATCAAAATTATTTTAAAATATAAATATATAAAATTTTATGTATAAAATAAAGTTCAACCCGTGTTACAGCACTGCTCGGATCTAGTTGGGGTTTAAAGACGAAAACCCCTGAAAATGGTGTATGAGAGATAAGAACTTAAAAAATGACCTAATGGATTCACATAAAAAATAGTTGAAAAAATTATAGCAAACATTAACATATATTTAATTTGCAAAAATAGTTATAGAAAAGGTTAATATTAATATATCAAATTAAATGAAAATCCATCAAAAGCTTTGATTATTTTTTTAAATACTGCTAAAACTAATAAATGTAGAATCCACCAACTTTTAATATCAAGAAATTCTAGAAAAAGACATGATGCATCTACCAATAGAAAATTTTAAAATGAAATAAAGTAAATAGTAAATTAATACTTTTATGAAATATGTTAAGTATCGAAATCTTGTAATAAATTATAACAAAAAAAAAAATTCATATCTAGAAAATTGAAAGTGGTACGAAATATTTAAAACTGTAGAATATATATAAATATATATGTTTAGTATTTACAAATTACAAAAACAGCAATAAAAAATCACATATCAAGGTGATTTGAGACATCCAAGCCATGAAATCATCTCATATAGCTCTAATAAGCATAATCATCTTCTCCATATTCACTCTACATGAAGGTAAGTATAGGTTTTTCTCACTGTAATGACTCTTTTTTGTTTTGCCCATCTCATCAAAGTTGTGTTTTGTGTCAATGTGTAGGTGGGAGAATGAAGGATGGAGAGATACAAAGATCGATGCTCCATATTCATATACCTCCATGCATCAAAACCTATTGTAAGCTATCATTTAAAAGGGAATGTTGGTGTTGTATCTCACGAAAAAAGAATCATTGTTGGAAAGAAAAAGATTATCCAAAGGCCAAGGAAATATGCTACGAGGAATGTTCAAAGGTTTTGCTAATGTAATGTTGCTTATATCAGTAAAGCATTTTAATACTCTATATATAGTTTGTCTTAATTAGTTTTGTCTTAAATTTATATAAAGTCCAATATATAGTATCATCATGAAATTGGTTCCATCACACACAAATGAAAAACATAACGAGATGTTATAAGAGATTATAGAATAGATCTCATCTAGAAGAAACAAAAAAACCTTGTTCTTGTCCTCAAACAAAATGTATATATGCCCATTGTTTTCACCTAACTCCAATCATCATCCCTGTCTTCCTCTCCTTGTCCTTTCTCAGTCTGATTCTGAATCTGATGGACATACATATTCTGACTTCTCCAATGGAGCATGGACTGCTTTGAGTAGTTTTAAATCGTTAATATCAAGATTTTCTATGTGGTTTACAAAGAAAAGAACGCGACAAGGTTGCTTAAACGCTTCGCCAAAACCATGGATTTCAACATGTTGGAGAGTCTCCCTTTCGGGATTGAAGTAGGAAACATAGAACGGGTTTTTAGGTGTATACATGTACGTTGAAAACACAATTTCACCTGAAGTGGTTTCCCCAACTATGGAAATGTAATTATATAACTTATCATCCGTCGAAGTGTAGGCATATTTTGACCATTCCTGTTTCTCAACATCCTCTAGAGCCCACAGATTCAAGTTCAACCGGTTAACGACATCATCCTCCCAATGAAACACAGCTAATTTGCCCTTGTAGTCAATCAATTGACCAAACATTTCTATGTGAATAAAGGTGAATTTCTCATACCTAAGATCAAAACAAACTATCACATCACGATCATCACAAAACCCCATTGATGCATACCCCTTCACTCACAACATCATGTCACAAAGAACATTTTACTGTTCTCCACCACATATCTCCATCTCTAAATGTAAGAATTTTATGATGACCAGGAGCAAATGGAAAAACCATGGACAATACCTTTTATTGCTTGTCAATTGGGTCAAACCCGATAAAGCTATACCCCTTTGTGTAAGTATACACACAAGGTAAGATCGCATACCATCCTGTGATGGGGTTACATATCAAAGGTCTAGCTTAGGCTTATTATTTAACTAGAAAGTTGCCCACGCGATGCGTGGGTTATACATGAAATATGAATTAAAAATTATATTAAGTTATATATGTGTATAAGTGTTAGTCTATGTTTTGAAAATAATTTTAAAACAAAATAATTAACGCACAAACAAAATTGAACGCGATCGCAAAATTAGTATAAAACATATTTTGTGTACATTGTAAACATTTAAAATAAACGAAAAGTATATTTGGAAAATATAGAACTGAATGAGATCTAAACAAAGTAATACAAAATTAGTACATACAAAAGTATGAGCATTTGTTACTCACCTTATAATTTATCATAACCTAAAAGTAACTTAAATTTTAAAAATAATCAAGTTAAACTTTTCAAAATATCAAATTAAAAGATTTCATTTGAAACATATGATATATTGTTTTAAACTTTATTTAGAAAAGATTTTTCAATTTAGATTATAAAAGCATTTAAACTATAGTTATGTAAAAACTAAAAAGAGAGATCATAAGCCAAATAAACAGAAGAAGATTACATGAGAAGAAGAACTTTAATATTTTTATATTCTATTTGATTGTAAAGGAAGCTGACATAGGAGGTAGATGAGATATATATATATATATATATAGACTTTTTAATGTAGCATTAGTTTAGTTTTAAAATTACTACTAAATTGTTTTAAAACAAATATGCATGAAGATTTACATTACTATAAAAGCTAAATAAATGAATCCAAACTAAAATAGCATAACATGTTTACATCAAAATTAACAGAGAAGATGAACAACTACATCTACCTATTATATGTACATGATGGCGAATTTTTAGGTTTTTGCCCTTTTCATTTGATAAAAATAAAATTTTAACTCTGCTTACTATTATTATTTTATTTATAAATATAAATTACCAAATAGAAAGAAAATCTAATCAATTTATAAATTTTAAACAGAATGTAAATACAAAAAGACATAATTATTAAAAATGTACATGACGATATCTATCTATTATATGTACACGACAACAATACTAACTATATGTTCGGTCTCTTTAATATTTGTATTATTATGGATATAAAATTATTATTTATTTTATCAAATGAGGTTAAGTTACTAAGAGTGTAGAGTGGGTATGATATTATTGTGTAATTAATACGTTATTAATTATCATAATTATCATAATTAATATGTTACTAATTATCATAATTTAATTAATGTATTAAATTAAATATAACTTTCATAAAATGTATGATCTTTGAAAGAAAAAATTTAGGGACCAATTTTTTTGTAAGCAAGTATATATATTTTTTTAACATTTTGTCTGCAAATTTTAAATAAACTAAATATTATAATTTTTTATATAATAGTCTATTTGATCACAAAAACTAAATATAATGACAGATATATTAAAATGAATTACAAAAAATATTTGAGATTAAAAAAATTAGAAAATATTATTTGCTAAATGTTTTAAATCGAAAATTTTATTTATATAGCAATGAGAACTGTTATATTACATATGTGTTTTATCAAATTTTCTTGATTCATAAGTATGAAAATATAAGTATAATATAAGTATTTTCTTGATTGTGCGAGCTAATTCTAATTTATTGTGTGTTGAATAAAATTGAGTAGCAAAATATAGCTAATGCAAATTTATATTATTTGAGTTTTTATATTAAAGTGTGAGTTAAGAATTATTTGAATAAGAAAGAGGTAATAATATATTATTTTGGAAATTGTGTTACAATAAAATATTTAATTACATATTTCATAATCAAAAAAGAAAATGCATATATAAAAATGGATCCTTATAACTTAATTCTCTTGTTGTACGATGATTGGAACTAATATAAGATACTATGTTATATTTGTATCATACTTTCTAAAGATATTTATATCAAATTCTTAAAATGATTATTTCATTGATTTTTATGTCACATAAGAACATAAAAATAGAAAAAAAATATTAAAGATACATGAATATAATGGAAGAGAGGGAGTGAATGTACTTATATGTTGATAATCAAAAATAGAAAATAGAGATGAATTTTCAAGAAAAAAAGATAAATTATAATAATGTAAGATGTATATCAATATATCATATAATTTCTAAAAGTTTCTACAGTTGAAATTTTATATAATACTATTTTTTTTTTCAAAACTCATACAACAAAAATAAACAAAGCAAACAAATTTCATAAAGAAGAGAATGAGAGAATGAGAGAATGAGAGAATGAGAGAATGAGAGAATGAGAGAATGATATAATGAGAAAATGAGTATATATAGGAAGATAAGTGATGGGAGTTATAATTTCATAAAACAATTATGGGAGTCAATTATAATTGATTGTGTATTGAAAAAATTGAATGGAAAATATAGTTAATGCAAATTTATGTTATTTCAGTTTTTATATTAAAGTGTGAGTTTACTATATATGATTAAATGTGTTTTGTGGTTTTTTTCAGTTTTATATTAAAGTGTGAATCAAATATATAATATTTTTAAAAGTTACACGCCAAGTGGACCAATAAGAAAATCATTATATTATTTTCCCAACTGTTTGATAATAGAAAATTAAATAAATTTTGTTTGATAATCTCTTTTATTCTTCTCTTATAAATTAAATTTTTAAAATTAGAAATTATGTTATAAATAATTTATTACCCATATTAATGACTTTAAAAATGTATCTTTAAAGGAGTAGGAAATAAAAACTTAAAAATGTATCTTTAAAGGAGTAGGAAAAAAAAGTCATAGCAATTTTCTTTGAATTAAAAATTATAATAACTTCATTTTATGTTTAGCTTATATGATATTTAATTTAATTAGAAACTAAAATTAGGAAAAACATATTTTTGCAACAATGACACTTTTTAAAAAGCAAACCATACATATAACATATAACTTACCACACAATATCATAAAAAAAAAAAAAAATTTAAATGTTAGATTATAAATTAATAAAAATGACACATGTCAGAAGCATAGAGCGACACATGTCGCGTTGTGAGGCAAAGTTAAGAATAAACCTTGTCTTATTATATAAGATTATTATTATTATTATTATTATGTGTGTAAGATCGCACACAAGGTAAGATCTTCTCGAGAGAACGTAAGTTTAGTATTTACAAATTACAAAAACACAATAAGAAAACAAGAATCATAACAAGGTGATTTGAGACATCCAAACCATGAAATCGTCGCATATAGCTCTAAAAAGTATAGTCATCTTCTCCATCTTCCACTCTACATGAATGTATATTTTAGGCTTATTATATCAGTTTCAGGCTTTTGATCTAAAGCAATGTATATTTTAACTTAATTAGCTTGTCTTAGATTTTTACAAAGTCCAATAGTGTCATCATGATATTGGTTCCACCACACAAAAATGAAAAACAGAACAAGAAGTTATAAAATAACAAAGAACAGATCTCATCGAACATTAAAATAAATGTATAAAGCTCGCTAAAGAGAGAAAAACATTAAAATAGATAAGCCCATTGTTTTCACCTAACTCCAATCATCATCCTTATCATTTGCTCCTTGCCCTTTCTCAATCTGATTCTGAATCTGATGGTCCTAAATATTCTGGCTCCACCAATGGAGGATGGAATGACTTGAGTAGTTTTAAATCGTTAATATCAAGATCTTCTACATGGTTTACAAAGGTGAGAACGCGACAAGGTTTCTCAACCGCTTCACCAAAACCTCGAATTTCAACACGTTGGAGAGTCTCCCTTTCGGGATTGAAGTAGAAAACATAAAACGGTTTTTTAGGTGTGTAATCGTTCGTTGAAAACACAATATATTTTGTTCAACATTTTATTGTCTTTTGGCCTGTTAGTTTGTAATTTAAGCCTAACACTTTTATATCTAAATTGGGTTTATATTCTATAATATTAAAAGGAACACATTGTTTAGCCCAATATAATATAAGCCCAAATAAGTTAATATGTTTAAGTTGTCTCTCACTTACGTTCTTTCTTACGGATTTATGGCGTTTCCACTTCAGCTTATCAGCTATATACATAAAGTTAACTTTGCTCTCTTCTCCTTCAGCCACATCATCTGCCACGTCATCCGCCACATCATCATTTATCTTTTTTTTTCTTAGCTATAATGTAAATATAATTAAAATTTAAATTAAGATTTTACAAAAAAAACTTACAAGAAAATAACCAAGAAAAAGAAACAAAAACAAAGCTACTGTATAATTAAAAAAGATTTGGGTTAACGAACCCATAAAAGCATGAGCTTGTGCTAACGTTTCCTTATTGTCCTTGACGATATGATACTGCGAATTTCGCGGTCGATCAACTTGAAAACTACTTGAAAAGACAAACGCTCGGAGTTATATAAGAAGTTGTTGCGCTGCCGTCAAATGCTGTAGACTATCTTTTGAGATGTTAGCTTCTGGAGGAGAGCAAGGACTATTGAAGAAGAGAGTCGAGTCCAAGAGAGTAATTTTGACGATGAGGCGAATAGTCAATGTCAAGGGCAGAGCCTAGAAAAGACCAACATCCAAAGCTCAACAGAAAAATCAGAAGAAAGGAAGAGATAGTCACAAGATTCCGAAACAAACAACCATAGACAACACTCTAAAGACTGAATCTATCACAAGGAAACAAGTATTTGCCACGTGAGCCATCTATCAAGGTGATTTACCCACATATGGAAAGTTACATTTGGGACATCCTCTTTGAACCAAACATAATATGTCCAATCCTTTTCTACTTCCCGAAGTTTCAGTGCTTCCGAAGTCTTGGCTGAGGAAATCC